ATGCCATGTCTTCTTGGCTTGCATCTTTTTACTCTAATTAAGGAGCCTGGCCCAGCTCTTTCCTCCCTCATTTTTCACTTTGCCCATGGGCACCACAATAATTTGTCTTTCAAACCTCAGTGGTTTTTGTTTGAGAAGCAGAGTGCTATTACAGAGCACTGCACTAAAGACCTGAATTCTACTGCTAGCTCCATTTTGTGATCTTGGGCAGGTCAGCCTCTCTAAACTTCAGTTTTCTAATCTGTAAAGAGATGACGGGAACTCCCCTGGTGGTCCAGTGGTAAGATCCTGCATGCCACGTGGTGCGGCCAAAAAAAAAAAAAGATGACATTACCTGCTTAATCAGTTTCATAGGATAATGATTAGGGTCATGGATATGAAAATGCTTTCTAAAGTCTAATGTGCCATTTTAGTAAAGGTAATATTGAGGCCTTCTGAGCTGATATTCCCAAGAACTGTGTCTGTTAGAAAGTAACTTAATCCCTTGAGCTGTGGACATTTGTTAGTCACCAAGAGGATTCATTTTTGTCATACATTTACTGATATTTGCTCTTTTGCCAAGTACTATATTAAATGCAAAAATGAAAGACTTAATCTCTAACCTTAGAAAGCACGCAACCCCGTAAGGGAGAATTTAAAAACTAAAAAACCAAACATGGCTAAATATAATACTGTCTGATCAGTGCTTTAAAAGTGTACTGTGGCATTGGTTCTCCCTGGACCATTAGCAGCGAAATCATTTGGGAACTTGTTAGAAATGCAGATTCGTGGGCCCCACCCTAGACCTGTGGAATCAGAAACGAGGTGGCACAGCAGTCAGTGTTTTAACAAGTTTTCCAGGTGACTGTTGGCATGAGTCTCAAAGTTTGAGAACCACTGTGCGTTGGGAACAGAGAGAAGGAGTGATTAATTTCTCCTGGACCAGTTTACAAATGTCGTTACCCCTTGATCTGGGCCTTTGAAGAATAAATAGCCTTTCATAAAACAGAAAAAGAAAGGAATCATATTCTCAGAGAACATCATGAACAAATGTAAAAAATACATGTGTAGTGTGTTTGGAAAACACCTAGTTCAATATGACTAGACATAGGCTTTTTAGGGCAAGTTATTAAAGATGAAGCTAGAGAAAGAGAGGGTGAAGCTCAGTTGTTTAGGACTTTGAGCTTAGACTAGTGGTTCCCAAATTTATCTGCACATTGCAATTACCTAGGGAACTTAACAAACCCTGCCCGTGTCCCTCCCCTCTTGTGACTTAATTGGAATGTTTTAAAGATCCCCAAGTGATTCTAATAAGCAAACAAGTTTGGGAACCACTGGCTTAGACTATTTTGTTTATTGGGAAAGATCTTTTAACGTCAGAGTACACAATCTGATTTATTTTTTATAAATTTATTTATTTATTTATTTTTGGCTGCATTGGGTCTTCGTTGCTGCGTGCAGGCTTTCTCTAGTTGGGGCGAGCGGGGGCTGCTCTTCGTTGCGGTGTGCAGACTTCTTATTGTAGTGGCTTCTCTTGTTGCGGAGCACAGGCTCTAGGAGCACGGGCTTCAGTAATTGCAGCACGCGGGCTCAGTAGTTGTGGCTCATGGGCTCTAGAGCGCAGGCTCAGTAGTTGTGGCGCACAGGCTTAGTTGCTCCGTGGGATCTTCCCAGACCAGGGCTCGAACCCGTGTCCCCTGTATTGGCAGGCGGATTCTTAACCATTGCGCCACCTGGGAAGTCCCACAATCTGATTTATGTTTTAGGACAATAATTGGTGTAGGGAAGGAGAATGGAAATAGGGCAGCCTGTTTACCCTTCACAATTCAAATAAAGTATCCGTTAGAAAGCTTTCATAACCACCTTCTTATCAAGTCCAGATTATATACCTCTCCTGTGTGCTTCCCTTATCTTTGCATCTATCACATTCTATTGTAATTCTTACATAATTGTCTTCTCTACTAGACTGCAAGGGTAGGGAACTATGCCTAAGTTTGTTTTATATCCTCAGCATTTAACACAGTGTCTGGTACAGAGTTGGGATTCCATAAATACTTATTGATTAAATGACCAGTTAGATGATTATTTCAGTACAGGTATAAGGACCATAATAAGAGCTGTAGCTATAGGGAAAGGAGAGAAGGAAAAGATCTAAGAACTATTTCAGGTTATAGAATGTATAGGATATTGTAAATGTGAGTGTAGGAAGTAAAGGAGAAGGCCTACTCCAGGAACATGGTGAGATTTTTAGCTTGACTAACTGGTGATGCCATTAGCAGAGAGAGTACAGAGGAGGAAGAATGAATTTTAGGAGGAGATAATAAAATTGGTTTTGGTGGGGTTTAAGGCAATTGGAAACATCAGTCTAGCTCTAAGATAAGATTGGGGCTAGAGATAATGATTTTTTTTTTTTTTTTTTT